AGCAGCTTCATGGACCGGGGAGTGGTGATCTTGGACATCGCCTACTGCATTCCTGAGGACAGCGGCAGCTACGTCTGCGTGGCCACGAATAAATCTGGACGCTGTGAAAGTGGCTCTGTCGGTATCTCGTAAGTCTCAACTTGAAATGGATTTCGTTATTCCTGCTAGGGGAGGGGTGAAAAAGGATTGTGGATTGCGTTAACATTCTAGAAACTGTGTGGTTATTTTTATATTATTATGCGCATACATAGTTACCTAGACGCTAACACGGCTTTATGTCTTTTCTTTAGGTGCGAGGCCGATGCCCGGATCGTCACTAAGTCGAATCTGACAGAAAATTCGATCAGTCACTTGAAGAAACTCGAGGAGCCAGGAGATGAGTTTTCGCAGTACGTGCTCCCAGTATGACGTCGTATTTTACTTAAACTTTTGACCATGAACACGAGGACAGCCACCAGCCGACACAGTAACAAGTTCGCGTATTTGTGTAAAGTACTAATCATCGGTCTACGTGTGTCATCTGTGAATGAACAAGAGCTTTTATGACCAGAAAGTACCAACGAAGAACCTTCTCAGGATACGAATTGTGACAGGAAGAGGTCAAATACGTGAGATCTGTGGGAAATTAAGCAATACCTCGTCGAATGGAACGCTGAAGAGGACAGCGGCTTGTCGCGCTGACGCTCAAAAGTGACTTGACAGCACTTCCGACGCCCTCGGCGAAGAAAGGCATCGCATTCAGACATTTTAAATACCAAGTTCTGCGGGTCCACTTTTACTGAACACTCCACGCAGGAGGGAAGAGGAAGTGTCGTCTAGGTGGCAAATTGAAAGAAAGCAGGAATATCTGAGTAGTACTGTGGCAATGTGATATTACGTACCGAATAACAGGTCAAACAACACATGGTGAATGAATAACAGACAACTACGGGTTTAAGTCATGCATCCACCTGGGTCTGTTTATTACCTTTATGACACAAAAACGTGTCGATTCTCCTACCTGAACTGTTTTTTGGAAAAAAACACTCACGATCAGAACTCAGAAGTTTTTATTATCGAGGCCTTTTTGTTTTCTTGAATATATTTAGATCAAGCTTGGTCTGTAATGGCTAGGGAGAATTAAAAAAGTGGGTACCCGGTTGTCCAGAGGCCATGGTTGTCCGTATGCGTCACCCATAGAAAATAAAGGACAAAACCCAGTCTTTGCTGCGTTGGACTTTCTGGCGTGAGAAACTGACTAACTCTGAAAGTTTGAAGGCTTTCACACGAAAGACCAGCATGCTCCTTAGTGAAACCACGCAGGAGGATATTCCTTGTGACCGACGTCCCTTATCCGTATCACTAAATATCGCACGATGCGATGGACCCTAAACTAGCCTTCTGAAACTCGTCCATAATGTTGCATGAGTTTTGCCCCTTTAGGGGACTAAAGATGTAACGTCTAGAGCTCATAGCCGCGACATGTCTCACTTTGCATGGACACTGCGTTCAACTGTCCGAAAAACTAGTTTTAGGAGTTGTCCTCGAGACGACCCGCGGTGAGGCGTGAGTTTTACAGCTCTTCGTCAAGTACATTAGGTGCCAGCAGCCTCGGTTCTGATCTGGATGATCTTCCACCAGCGCCCATGGTGTCACAACTCCCTACTCGGGCCCGCAGGTAGGATATGACGTTTCTGTGAGGGGGTGGGAAGGAGGGCTAGAAGAGGTGTTTGCTGCGTTCGCGTTTGCAGGATCCGGTTGTTGGTACGAGGACCAGGGGGTGTGATGGCACGCCCGGGTGAGGGCACATGCCGCACCACCCATCCTGCTTCCAGTTTTCTTGGCTTTGTCCTGACATCGGGCCCACAAGGGTGAGGAGGAGGCGGAGGAGAGAGTGCGGTGGACACAGGGCGGGTCCACAACCAGTATAAACTCATTCACGCACAAGACACCGTCTCTGCGTCAGCCCTACCGTGGGGCGCACGATGGACATTGCCAGAACCGACAGTCAAACTGTCAAGTCTTGATGAAACGACCTGTTGTAGCGGCCGAAGACGTTGAGACTAGCATACGCAGGGCAATAAAAAGCACTTGGAGCAGCTACTGACTTAAAATGAGCTGAATAGGGCTGTCAGACTCGCCACCACATTCACCAGTCCAAACAGGTTAGAAGGAAATTTACTTAACATAAAGCATGTATTAGCAGCAGCAGCAGCAGCAGCAGCAGCAGCAGCAGCAGCAGCAGAGGGGGATGGGGTGCAGTATGGGGAAAACAGCCAATAATACAGGAAACGGGGATTTATCTTGAGGAAAAGATTCATTTAAATTGGGGGCGCCACCTTCCTGCCAACTTAAAACCCGACGGGTAGTGCAACGTTGTGGGCAAATGCAGAGCATGATTGTGAAGGATGCCGACGTCGGAAGAGAGAGAGAACGAAAAGAGTTGTGGCGAGTGTTGCGGAAGGGGTGTTGGAGGTTGTGAGGGAAAGTCATCGGCCATCTTTACCGACTTGTGGTTACACCATCTCCATGCGCCAAAAGTAGATTTAGTCTTCTCAAACAACTACGTCAAATTCGTGGTGCGTTACACCTTATGTGCTGGCCTAGATCTGAAGCGAACCACTCGCATATCCAGATACGCATGCACACCCAAAATATATGGATGTACGCTGGCGAGGAAACAGCGATCCAGCAGAGTTGTGGTCTCATCCACCCGGATGGAATGTTGCGTTTTTCACCGACAGATTACGGATATCAGCTGACCAAGCGGTGCCAGTTCCCTCCGCTCCGAGCCTTCTATGCCGGGAAGCCGCCACTTCACTTTATGCATCGATTCACCGGCAAACGTCCTCGTCGGCGTCGTTTTATTTCCCCTAGCCTTTGTTTTTTGCACCCTCTTTTAATGTCGCTGGTTTTGTTCGTCCATGCTGACTGCGGATTTGTGGTTCCTTCATTCATACTGACCTTGCTCTGACATCCGGGCAAGCTTCTTGAGGGTGGAAAGAGTCTCGACAATGTAGAGAAATTCCGCCTCACTGTAAACCAACTAACGCGCAAGTCAACGTTGTATGGGCAACCGTGGGGCGGAGGTTGGACGTCGACGCTTGCGACTGTCGAATTATCATCGATCATGCGAATATTCCACTCCGCTAACAGATGTGATTTATGCAGTCACCCATCTAAGAGTCAGGACGAAGGTTATTTTCTTTCGTTACAGCATTGACGAAAGAGCAGCAGATCCTATCCCACCGTCATTCAAGGGTCCCATAATTCCGCCAAGCGTCACAACTCCGGAGACACTGGACGCCTACTTTGAAGTTCCCGTAGATACTGGGAATGGCAGCAAAGTCGATGTTGAATGGAGAAAAGATGGAGAAGTTGTTCATACAGGTATGTGATAAAGTGATATATGTGCAGTATGAGCGTTCAAGTAGGGGACACTTCCGCGTCCAAAAGAAATATTTTCGTTCTGCTTATAACAGTAGCTAGAATCAGTCACCAGGGGTAAACTCGGATAAAATCAGCCCCCCGCTGTCGGAAGATAACCCTCAGTCGCATTTTCCCACATTCTCTCAGCCCCTCAGTAACCCGGTGGTAGATATGAATGTTTGTTAACAGAACCCTTGTTCAAATGTTGCCGCTGGTGACTTTTCACTAGTTTTCTCCAGTGCACATCTTCGCTTTTGACTCAGTCCTCAGCTTGTCGGATGACCAGATCTCCCACGAACTGCAAGAGGTGTGTCATTCAAAGCCCAAATTCGTCATCAGACACATTCCTGCCACTTAAACGCTGGAAAAGGAAGTAAATATCGCGATCAAATGTTACCCCAAAGCAGAGAGGGGCTTTGATTTCAAGTTGGCCGTCTGTTTTTGTTTACCCCTGACGGCTGACTCCAAAAACCGCCATAAATATTGCCAAAATGAAATGTTATACATGGAAAATTGCCTCAATATCCGCATACCCAGTTCAGTTACGTATGTCGATTAATGTACTCTACAGTTCTAAGACTCCCGTTATCAAGTGGAGATGTAAACCAGAAGCGTTAGTATCCGGAAACGTACGGCCCTTTTCCCAAAATTCTCCGAGTTACCTATACTTATAAAGTAAGACGTACTTTTCATTGTTGCATCTTTACTAAGAACGGAACTGGGGACTACTTCGGAACTCTGCACAGAAACTATACTAAACAATTGCGGCATTGGTGAAATTTCTGCCTTCCAGATGACGCACTTGCATACTTCCTTTTAGGTTCTCGGATCACCGTAAAACTGGAGCTGGGTGTGGCCAGCCTACGCTTCAACTACACTCAGCCCTCGGATACAGGAAACTATGTGTGCTACATAACCACCGAACACGGCAGAGCGGAGAGTGATACGGCCACATTGTCCGTCGAAAAGACTGGCACCATTATTAATGACAGCCAGTTGACTGGCGACAGGGCTCAACGTGGTACGCTTATAAATATAAATCTGTATATTATATGGGCACCACAAGAAGTATAATTCGAAGGAAAAAGTCATTTCGGAAAGTTGGCTTTGTAAATGTTCGACTCTGGTTTCCGACGCCGTCCTCAGAAGTGAGGTAGATTTGCAAGACACTTAAATTGCAAACAGGCCTACATATCGGTACTGCTTTGTCATTCCTGTCAGTCAGCCCTTTTTAGTAGTTGGCATCAAGTTCTAATTTGCTATCACTTTCTCCATTTTTCCTTGAGTTTGTTGTACATGGCACCTAATTCAGTACGCTCATTCCTGACTGAAATGTTAAAATGCGCGGCCTCTAAATATCCTCGTCCTGTCTAAGATGAACGGATTCATAATGCGAGTCTTCTTTCAAGTGAATTTTTGTCGGTTTCCAGCGTATTCATGCCAAATTGGAACAAGTAGCTTCACCTTTGTACTGTCAACTGATGTCCGTTTATTCGTCAAAAGGCAGAGTTTCCAGTTGGACCACAGTAAACTGTATCGCAGGGCTTGCACGGTATCTTGCCTGAGTAGCCGAGCTGGTGGTGCAATGTAGACGTCGGTTTGTGCTACAGATGTATTTGGTGCTCCCTCAATTGCCTTTCAGCGAGATCGGACATATTCTTAATGTACGAAAGCGTCCATCAATTTTGAGTTTGCGCGCCTGGCCGAAGAAATCTGGTTCTCTTTCTTTTTCTTTTAACTCCTGTTGTTTCATGCGTCGATGTGCAAAATCTCTAGGATAGCCATTCTGGGTAAACGGATTGAAAAAATAATTCAGCTCTGTTTGCTAACTTTTGTCGCCATAGCAGTGTGTTTTTGCTAGATTAGGGAAGCTTTCCACGACACTCCGTTTGTGAGAGAAGGATGACCGCTATCGTAATAAGGGGAAACTTCTGCATAAGTTTCATTGCCCTAAACAAGGACGTCAAGAAATGGGAGTTTGCTGCCAACTTGTTATCGGGCATGAATTCGATTCCTGGAAGCGTTGAGCCAATAAAGTTATGGATCATTTCAAGTTGGCCTTCTTTTAAGAACAACAGAGGTAAAGTCAGCATAAACATACCCGTAATTAGGGTTTAACTACTGTTAGGGCAGTAGCCTCAAAGTATTGTATCGCGACTTACGCAAGAAAGCCAGAGATGGGTGGTCCAAAAGGGGTTCGCTTCAGTTCTTAATAGTATTCCTGTGCAGATGAAAAGTTCCTTTCCGGAAATAGGTTTAAGAGTTCTAACAAAGCAGATGCAGGGAAATGCGAGTCGCAAAGCCGGGGACGCTCTTCTGTGCATTGCCTTGCCAAATCCAATGTGATAGGTACAAAAAGGGAGACTAACTCAAAGAAACCATTATCCATCTGCTGACATTTTGAGTCTTTGTACTTTGCCCACAATCTCCATTGAATTCTCATTTGTTTCTTCACAATCCTTTGTCGGTGGATGGAGTTCGTGGGGTAGCCAGTTAGAAATCTCTTAATTGGGTGTACCAAGTGACGATGCCATCGGTCGCAGGGGTACTTTGAGTTTGTGAGCCTTAGGCAGTCCATAGATTTTAGTGATGCCCAACTCAGTCTGTCGTAGGTGTTTGAAAATATATCCGGGTATCTGCTTCTTCCACGTACGTCGTCTTAGCTCTCTTTCAATGGTTTAATTCTGCGCTTTGAAAGGGTCTGCGGTAAGAGGTTCATAGTAACAGTAACAGTATTTTTTCATTGTAGTCTGCATTGTTCAGCATTGCAGTGAAGCCTCCTTTGTCCGCAGGAAGTATGACGATGTTTTGTCTAGAACTGTGCAATGATTTACCGTACTAACAACACGGGTATTAGCTAAAAGCCCAGACACGCGTGTTTCGCCGATCTTATGCCGCTGTCTGACGCAGCTGCGAGGGGTTCGGCTCGTCAGTGGGTCCCCCAGCCTTCCCCGTGTGTTTTCTGGTATATGAACTCCAGGTTTAACTTGCCTTGTTTAATTTCCGAGGAAACTAATGCGCGAACTTGGAGTAAATCTTTCGAAACGGCCCTTTTCAGGCACGCTCCAAATTTTGATATGAATATTTGAGCTGAAATCCATCAGCTACTGCGGACGTCTACTTTTGACTTTGTCAAATGCCTTTCTTTCTTCATGGGATGGTACTGAAATAGGACTTTGTTCCTTCAAGACATATACAGTAGTACTCCGTACTGTGAGACATTCATCGTTCTTAAGACTTTTGCTGATACAAAGGTTTTAAAAAAACCTTAGTATTTTGCAGCGGAATGATTATAGTTCATTCCCTTTTAAGGCACATTCACTCTGACTATCGTAAGGCCTCTTGCTAACAGATTTACTACCCTTGGCATGCAGTTTTGATTTGTCTATTTCCGTTTACAATTGATCATCTGTTTTCTGTCTAAAACACTTCTCTTTTTCTATTGTTTGATGTCGAAAACACAAGTACTCGTTTCATTAAGACATTCATCTAAGTGCCAAGAGAGATTATTTCGACAGAAGTTAACATGTTTCCTGGAAACGTGGAATTCCTGAGGTCTGCAACGAGTATCGATAAACGTGATCTAGGGTAATTCTTGTGGCAGATCTTACTTAGACAGATTTTGTTAAAATCATCTTCTTTAGACGTCAGATAACGGTCCTCGCGACCGACTTTCGTCCTAAGTTCACAGTAGGCATGAAACTATAACAAAAGGACTTCGATTCAGACGTTACTGAATTACTGTTTCACAAAAGTGACGGTTTTACGACCATTCGGTCTGATGCTGGCAAACCACGGTTATGCTCATCGTCGCCTCTGCCGAACATAGGATAGGAGGGAAGGCGACTTTAAAACACATAATTTAAGACTGCTTTCTCTCCCCACAGTCCGAAAGTTTATTTTTATATAGAAAATAGAAATAAAACAGTACGTCAGAGTGACCTATGCGTCATTTTAAAATGCAGGACTGCAAGCTCTGCAGGAGTTGGAGGAACTCCTGAATGCCCCAAGACGGGGACCTGACGTCGAGGACGGGCCGGCAGCGGCACCCAGCATCCTCCGCCAACCAAAGCCCGTCGGCGAGATCATGGAGGGAGAAAGTGTGAGCTTCCAACTGCAATTCGAGCCCGCTACCGACCCCAATGTCACCGTGGAGTGGTGAGCTCTCCAACTCAATCCACATACTTCGCATTGGTTAACCTAAATGCAGATACGAAACTCGTACTGGTTTTATATAATCAGTTGTTTCCTTCGCACTTTTTTGCTCAATTAAAGGTACAAGGATGGCGAGTCGCTTTGCAATGGCACGCGATTCCGTGTGGAGCACGAACGAGGAATCGCCACCCTTGGTCTATTGCACACCATTCCTGAGGACAGTGGGTCCTACTGGTGCCAAATCAGCAATGCCTCGGGCAGTATCGAGAGCGATCACCTGCAGTTGAGCTGTACTCCGAGCGCAGCGATCATAACTCAAAGCAACCTCCTCGAGGGTTCTGAAGGCTTCAAACTCATCCAGGCGATTGAGGCTGCTGCAAGAGAGAAGTGCGTTTCTTGTCTGCTGACTGTCGCTTATTTCACCTACCAAGGGAGAATTGTGAGTGATTTATGTTTGTCAGCGAATGGATGAAATGACTATCTTCACTCGGGTGCGGGTCACAGGCTCACCCAGCGCCCCTGCGCGGTGACGTTGCTGTAATGCGGACAGTGACTATGTAGGAGAACGTTCTACTCAATAATTATTAGTAGGCGTATAAATGTGCTAAGGAAAGGGGTCGGGGTAGCACTTCACGACTTGCGCACACACTGACATCGGACCCTACCCAACTTCTTATATCAGTTCGTTCATTGCCACATTTCTGCTTCAGTTCGGACACAAGCATGCGATATTCTGAGGACGTGCCTGAAGACGCCCCACCCGCCATTGATGTGCCTCCACAGACGGCGGAAGTCATCGTTGGAGCACCGGCACGCTTCTTGGTGAAGATGAGCGGCCATCCTGTTCCCGAGATTGCCTGGCTTCTTGATGGTGAACCTGTTCAACAGGTATGCGTCCTACTAAGGGATTTTTGATGGATTTTCGGACACAGCGTAGGCTAATCGAAAACATCTAATAGGTGCTGTTTTTGAATTTTTTTCTGCCTCAACGAAATAAACCTGTTACCTTTGCTAGATCCCCACTCTATAAAACTCCCCGGCCTTAATTAATTAATTCATTAATAAGATTTGATTATTTAACGCTTTATGTAACTTTATTAAATAGCTGTATGTCGCACATGGCCGTCAAAAGGTTGATGAGGGACATGTTCAGCCAAATTATATAAGCAATTTTGGAAGTATATACAATCTGACGGATAATCTTATATTGGCGTGCAACCAATAGTCGACGGAGGCTTAGCGAAATTGAAAAAGATAATATTGTTGTCTGGAGTATAGAGTACCATACTCAGGCTGAGCTCAGGAGACGCAGACACTGGCCAGCGGCCAACCACTCCCATCATCGCTAACCTGAGCCCGATTTTCTGTATCTGTTACAAAGTGGAAAGTTTGAATAATAGGTATATGTGCATTCCAGTAGTGGACTACCTAAAATGTATTGCAGTACTCCTCTCTGACTTTCATCCTTCGACGTCGTACTTTAACAAAGTTAACTGGTTTCAAAATGGTTGAAATTAACTTGATGCAGAAAGACGATTCAAAGTTGACCGAGTATGTTCCTTTCAGAAAGACCAACGTCCAAAATGATACCATCTTTACCCCTTTTGTAGTTTTATTTCAACTGACCCTGTCTGATTCCATAAATTTAATTGTACAACGGTTTCCCACTTATGCTCCGTAGGATTCCTTGACTAAGGTATACAGTGACGGTGGCATCAGCATCTTGGAGTTCAACAAATGTTCATTCGACCTCGGCTCACATACCATTCACGTAAAGGCTCATAATGGACTGGGCAGCACAGAGGCGCAGACAGAACTGATTGTCCATCCGCCCGACTACAAGGTGCCTGATCTAAAACACGTCGCCCCAGGTACGTCGGTCCTGCAGTTCCCCGTTAATCCCTATCGCTTTAGAAAATCCCTTCAGAAAGCTGATGGCTCTGAAGAAGGTGGAATGCACGCCTGAACTGAACAAGGCATTCTCGAAATCGAAGCCGACGCCCGAAACAATCATTCAGATGGAGAGAGGTGAGTAGTACTTAAGAGAAATGCTAACTTGTATTATTTAACCCATAGGCACGGAAATGAAGGTGAAGAACTTCCGGTCGCCCGAGGTGGTTGCAGCCGAGGAGATGCTTGATAAGGTCACACAGGGGCTTCGCAAATCTGATATCAATAAGGTACGCCCATTGGACAACTGTGTTCTGCCTAACATTAAATAGCCCACTTAAATATCTGAGTAGACATATTTTTACAAGACTAACCCAGATGCGCCGCTCTTACAGGGAAGGCATGGAGATAACTAGATGATGGCGGACTACTAATTCTCCAACAGTTTCCATCCGCTTGTGCCTCGTTCGGAAATTTCGCCCCGGAAAACGTGGGAAATCACTCTTAACTTTCTCATCCCGCTAAAGAATGTACTGTTCTGCAAGCGCTGATTGGCCTCGCTTCTACTTTTTCAGTCAAGACCAACTCTCTTTTCAGTTACTATTTCCGTCCTACAAGCTTGCCTTTTCATTCGAACTATTCTCGACTCATTTTAGGCAACTAATCCCTTAACACAAGTATGCGTGATATAAGTGCGCCTATATCGTTTGTGTTCTTGTGTTAGAAATATTGCCAATTTCCTGCTTGGTTTGTCCGCCCCAATGCATTTTGTCATTTTCGATTGTTTCGTCTTTTCTTCGCATCTGCGATTGTTAAAAGAGTTGAAAAATTTTGCAAAAGCTCTCAATCCATTTGTCCCACCCATAAAACCCCCTATCCCACCGGTCCCGTCAGACGGGGACCTAGCGTTTGACTTGCACATCCCAGGCTACGAACTGCGATCTGACCGAAGGTTCAAACAAGTATGCCTTGGTTGCATTAGAGCACTACAAAAAACAGACTGGTATAGGCAGTATGCAGGAAGGCATGGAAGGGACTGCTTGGAAGCAAGTATTCAGGGCTGGGAGTTGATGACTGTCACATTTGTACTCAGGAAACTCAGGCGACTCTAATACAGTACCTACAGATTCTCTACTGTGGAGTGCCTTTACAGACAAATACTTATATATATTCAAGATAAAAGGTGGCGAGCGAACGTGGCTTGCGATAACTTCTCGTCAGGCCAGTACAGTTATTTGGGACGGGATACAGTGAGTGAGAAAAATCGATAAGAGTTGGTTTTTAAAATGCAGGCTAGGCAAGAGCAGAAGGGAGCAGAAAGTTGTATGTGTTTAGTCAACCTTTGACCACGGTAAGCGCGGAGCCTGAACGAGGTTCTTCTGGGCGCATATGGTCGGTTTTCGTAACCTGATGGCCGCCGCTTCTGCTAACAGGCGCTGGCCCAGTAGCTTAGGGTAGCTTGAGGGGACCTTACAAACCCCACGAAATGCTTCGGCGGGGTCCACACGATGCCCTATTTATTTGGCCTTACTCCGGACGGCAAGGATAGGTTGTGTAACCCCACTGAGATAAGCATGTACAACCGCCCACTATAGTTGTTTCAGTAGACCTCGTTTGGTTTATTAATTCCTGGTTAAAGGAAGTCTCCGCATGCAGCTATGAGCGTACTCACCATCAAGTTACGAAAGCCGACCCTATGCGCCCAGAAGAACCTCGTTCAGGCTCCGCGCTTACCGTCGTCAAAGGTTGACTAAACACAACTTTCTGCTCCCTTCCGCTCTTGCCTAGCCTGCATTTTAAAAACCAACTCTTATCGATTTTTTTTCACTCACTGTATACCGTCCCATATAACTGTACTGGCCTGACGAGAAGTTATCGAAAGCAGCGTTCGCTCGCTACCTTTTCTTCTGACTTATATATATGTAGATAAGGTGGTACCAACAAAGACAAGGGAGACCGGAATGGCCATTTATAGCTTAGTAGCTGTCATCGTTCAGCCATACCCAATCCTAAGTGTGAACCATCCGGCGCAACTGGACAAGCATGTTCCTTAACCGAATCGGTGAGCATCTTTGAAACTCCTTACTGGTATCCCAGTGACCGAATGTGATATATGGGCAACAGCAATCCAAAAAACGCCAGGATCCTTACCGTCGCCTCCGAAGGGTTCTTCACCAAGAATATCGCCGACCAAAATTTCGGTCTTTGCCGTTGGAAGGTAGGCTTCTTCAGGTACCTGTATACGAAGGCCCTCAGGTATTAATTGACTGCCAATGGGTCGTGCAGATATTACGGTCCCTACTTTGCCGATAGAAGCGAACAGGCGAGTTCCGGGAAGCAGTTCAGAAGAAAAGGAAGAGGCGATAAATGGAACAGGAAGGTTATTAGCCTGCCGTTTTATATTCTCACTTGAACCATCTCTGATGATGGGTCCGAGTGAGAATCCGAAACGCCACGTCAGTAAACTTCCTGTTCCAGTGATCGACCCATCTTCCTCTGAGTCTCCACTTTTCCCTCTCGTCGTTGATTTATATTTGAAGCTGTTGGAATTGGGTTCCGACACGGCAATGTTTACGATCAGCAGGTCACTTGAAGCTGAACCGAAGGACGCCCCGGTCTTCTTTGCTCTTGGACAGATCTCAGTCATTATTTTTCCGTCTTTACATTAACAATGTGCATATTAATTTCAGCATGCTCTTCCATTCTAAACTAAATGCTAACGTAAGTACAGTAGGTGGGCTAACTAATGAAATGTCAACCGAAATTCTGAAATGCGTTTTCGTTTCGAAAAGATTGATTAAGTTGGGTTGTAAAAATAATCAGTCTGCAGCATAATTCTATAATAATTCAGTTACCTCAGTATACCGGCTTTCGAACGAACTTCCTTCCGGTTGCATGCAAAAGCTATATTCTGTAAAAAATGGCTACTTCAGTACCATGCATTTTCTCATTGATTTTCGATGCCCTTAAAAATGCAATTATATTTCATGGAAAACATGCATGACAATATCCTTTCTTTTACTCATTTGGTAAAAAATTATATCTTCTTCCAATTTCATACTCAAAGGAAGGGTATAATTAAGTTTTCAAAAACTTTTCCAGTTCTCGAATAATTCCCAACCCGACCTGCCGTTACACTAGCATTCAGGGTTTCCAAACTACAAACCAAATATTTTCCGCGTACGGAAAACCATACGTTTCTCTACAGTATTAAGTGGAACGCATATGGGATTCATAAAATTCAGCAGTGGATTGGAGCCATGTTGTTAACTTTACGAGCCACATTGGTAAATGCAGAGATATGTAGTTTTATGAATGGTCACTTCATGATATTAAAAAATCTCATATTTAGAAACATTTTAAAACCAATTTATACCCTTCTTTCGAATAAAAAAATTGGAAGAAGACGTAATGTACTAGCGAATGAGTAGGAGAATGGATAATTTTATACGTGTTTTCCATGAAATATAATGGGATTTTTAAGAGCATCAAAGATCAGTGGTAAAAGTGAATGCTACTTCAGTAGTCATTTTTTACAGAATATAGCTTTTGCATGCTGCCGGAAAGAAGTTTGCTCGAAAGTCGGCATCCTGCAGTAACCATATTATTATAGAAATATGCGGCTTAAGGATTAGTCCTCTAAATCAACTTAATTAATTTTTTCGAAACGAAAACACATTTCGAAATATCGGTTGACATTCCACGAGTTAGCCCACCTACAGTATGTTGTCGATGCATCTAGTGCAGCACTCTTGAGGGGACGATATAAGGAGTAATCTATTTTGTCTCCGCGGAGGCACTTCAGTAAGTAATCCTCTCAGCGGCGGAACAATATGTGTTGCCTTATAAGCCTGATCGTTTAAGGGGAAGAAAATTGTTTACGCACGACTCCAGGTACTCGGTTAAAGGATGTCGCTTGAGCTGCTAATCAGCATTCTCCTGCTGAAGAGAATGTCTCGTATGTCAACAGCGGGTATGGAAGCTAAGACAGAGCTGGCATCGGCTGATGCCATCAGCTCACCTTTCCCAATTCGAGACGTCTGATGCCCGTTGAGGAAGTGATGGGCGCGATACTATTCTAGGGTCTGCATGAAACCCGCAAAACTGTCTAACGAGGTGAGCAGTATTAACTTGCGAGTGGATTTGTTGAGTGTAAAGAGGACTCCTGTTGCATCTGTTCAGATCTTTATTCCAACAACTCTCGTATTCGATGGCGAGCCAAGACGATAGTGGTAGACACAAGTGTATTAGCTGATAAAGATCAACAGCCCCTCTACGCTTAGTCTCCACGACCTGATTCAGTACATGAAAGTCGATTTTAAATGATAGGGTGCCCAAAAGACCACATCAATAATAGACCATTGAAGCCTCACTCTCGTTCCAAGTAAGGATCGATTTATCCGTTCTGTTGGCAATCTTGGGAGTTGCGGCTGCTAGCAGGTCATAATGGATGCAGTGATTGATTAGTTGTTTATGGTGGGGAAAGAAGAGCTCGACTCAGCCCGCATCGACCTCCACCTTTCTTCTTTCCTTCCTTGAAGGCGCAGTTACCTGTTCGATTTCATCAGAATATTGGTGGTATAGGGCACGGTGGTTCAAGCGACATGAAGCTGTCGTCCAACGCATGTCAGATATGGAATCGATTCCAACAGAAACCGAGGGACTTTATTGAAGTTACATTAAAAGAAAGCCTTTCCAAACTGACCTTACACCCGTAAGAAGGTAGTATTATTCCGTCAGTCGTCAACCTTCCAAAATGCAAATTTTTACTTGTTGGGAATGGGATAAATCGTGCTATCCTTATTATGATGAGCAACATAGTGTTTTTCAGCGAAGTGAATCTCCTTTTCGATATCCATTCCAGTTTTCCTTCCCGTTCTTACGTGTCAATGGCTTCTCATGCTATGAGCGATTCATGTGACGCCATGAAAAGTGAGTTTTTGGGTGTCGGGTAGATCGCTCCTTTGCTCACAATCTAATGGGCGCCCTGCGATATAACTCGAGAGTGCAAGTTAGTTGGGCTGGTTCACTGGTAGCTGGGAAGGCATGATTGTATCTCCCTATTTACTTGGACCTACTCCAGATAGCAAGGATAGGTCGTGTAACCCCACTGAGATTAACATGTACAGCCGCCCACTATAGTTGTTTTAGTAGACCTTGGAAGGGGGCGCTTACCGATCGTTCATACGGAACTCACTCGTTCCGTTGTGCCTTAAGGGCTCTCGCTTTCGAGCCCAACCAGCAGCCGCACAGCGGCGCATGATATATAGGCAGAATGGTATTACCGACGAAGACAAGGGAGACTGGAATGGCCACTTCTGGCTTATTAGCCGTCGTCAGCCAGTCATACCCAACCACAAAGTGTGAAACACCCGAGCCTCGAACTCGCGACCCGTTGGTTTAGAAGTCCACGCCT